AGGTTAGAATTCTAAATTGGAGATGCGGAGGGATTTGAGAAAGTATTACTTGTATATAGGTTACTGTAAAAAAAAAAAAAGAAATGATTTATTTAATTTTTTTTTGGTTTCCCGCCCGGTATTCGGGATTTCACTCCGACTACTCCAGACTCGACCAGTTGTGGCACACCAGAATGATGGGTGGTTTCCCAACGAAAGCTGCTGCATATACAAGGTTTTGAACTCGAGACCTTACTTAAACTGGAATAAGTCGCTTGCCACTTAATTCAACCCCTCGTTGGTAGAAATGATTTATTTAATTTATGTCATAAAAATATAAATTAAGGATGTATTAAATAAATTTTTTTTGTTATAAATTTATATTAAAAAAATAAAAATTAATTTTTAATTTATTAATTATTTAATTAATTTCATTCATTTAATATTGATATTAAAATTAAAATTAATTTTTATATTATATATATGATAAAAAATACTCTTAATTAATTTATATTTTAAAAATGTAAATTAAAAAAACTTAAAATTGAAATAAGCAGATTTTAGTCTTTAAATTTTAAAATATTACATGTACCTAACTCAAATTTAAATACACCTTTATTTTGAATTTTTGATACCATATCTCCAGCCAAACTTACGTTGCCAAACAAACAGTAAAATAAAATTTCCACTTAAACGATGTTAAAAAAATGCTGGCATGAAAGCGAAAAATAAGGCCCTCCAAATCAAACAGCCCCAAATCTAGCCACGATGAACACACTTAGCGGAGATGCCTTAGAGTAAGCAGTGAGGAAGAGACGCAAGATTTAGAGCATCTCCGAAGGTTCTCTTACCCCAGCAGAGATTTGCTTAATCAGAAGATCTCAATTTTTTTTTTCTCTCTCTGACATGTGTGTGGTTTGAAGATTTTTTTTCTCTTTTTCTTTCGTTTGTTTTTTACTGTGTAAATAAAATAAGTATCTTTCTAAAGATATATATTAAAAATATTTTTTATTAATATATATAAAATATAAAAATTAATATTAAATTTTAAAGGGACTGATTCATACACTTACCAGATCCACACCACCCGGTGGGTTACCCTCTTTTAAAAAATATATTTACAACCTAATATGAAGAATAAGTGTTGAATAGCTTAACCCTGTAACCTTTCACTCAGCCATACTCGATTTTTTATTCCAAACATACAATAACTCGATCCCTTCTCCCTTCTTTGACTCTTTCACTGTTTCCTTGTCCTCTCGAGCACCGTCACTGGCATCGGCACCGTCATCACTGTTGGGCATTGCTTTTCCTTGCTTCTTCCTCCTTTCTTTTTCTTCCTCCCTTCTCCTTACTTTCTTTCTCTTCCTACCACTCCATCTATTCCCCTTGCTTCTCCGTAGCAAAGAATCCAAAAAATTCGGGTACTCATCACACAATTTGGGTACATATCACGCTCTAGTAACCATTGATTTCATCCTATTTGAATCTAGCTTTTTTTTTTTTCTTCTTTTATCATATCTGAAAATTTTCTTTTTTTTTTTTTTTTGCTCCAACCAACACTTGGATCTAAATTCTTGGATCTCAGAAACACCAGACTACCCAATCCCAATCCCTCTCCCTCCCATGAAAACCCCCTTGTTTTCCCATCACTGCAACCTTCTTCCTTTGAAGTAGCACCGAAACCAGCACCACCATTTCAATTTCTTCCCCACAAAGATCCACATTGCTAGAATGTTGAGGCAAAGGGATTTGAGATTCACTAACCCAGAAAGATGAGGGATTTGTTATGCAATTGAAAATAGGAAAAGTAGCCTTGAATTTTGTGGGTTTCAAATGATTTTTTTTCCATCGTTCATACTTGCTATGTTCTTCTAAATGTTTGGTTGAATCCCTCTCATACCTACAGATTGGCAAAATAAAGCTAGATCTTCAACTAAAATTTGAAAGAAAAAAAGAAGTCATGGATTTTTCTCATTTTCACTTTTGTGTTGGAGATGAGATAGATCTGGAAAAGAGAAGGGATTTCTGACCATTTGTTGAATTTAATCTTTACATTTATGAAGAAAAAGAAAATTACCCCTTCTCAAATAATTAATTTTAATCTCTTAATTTTAACTTTAATTTTAAAAAAAATTTGGAGAAGATGAATAGTACTCTCCATTACCTATGCTAGCATAACAAGAGGAATGGCAAAGAGAATGAGTCGAGGAAGATGACTAGCAAAAGAAGCAAACTTTTTTAGAGGGATGGGTGGTTGAGAGAAGCAAAAAAGAATCAATTTTGACAAGTATGCCGGACAAGATCGTGTCAAGTGATTAGAAAATGGTAAGAAAATTGACAAGTTCTTTTTAAGTATTTGATTTGAGTTAAATATGAAAGGTGAAAAGAAACTGGGTGCCATTAATAAGTTAGAAAAGTGTTAAAGAAATTCATTTTCACCTAATCATTCAGATGCAGTAAAAAAAAGGGGAAAATGAAAAAGCCAGGAGGAGAGAGAAAGCATGAGAAAGAAGGCAAGGGCATTTATTGCCTTTGAGAAAACAGGTTTTCAATCTATTTAGAATAAGTTAGGATAAATATATATGTATCAAAATAAAATATTTTTTTTTTTTTTCGAAGGATTGGTGTGATGCGTCGGATGTTGATTCATAGTGTGCATGAATTATTTTTTTAATTTTAATATAGGACATTGATATATTTATTTTTTTAAAGTTATATGTTTTGTTATATATTGTTGGTTTTTATTAATATGACATTAAAATTGATGAAAATTATTAATTTTAACGATAAAAATCATAAAAATCATAAAAATCATCAATTTTAATGACATAAGTAACGAAACTGTCAATTTTAATAACACACTGACAGAAATCGTTTAGTGTATAATGAAAAGTATAACTTTGAAAAGTACATGTATTATTTTCCTTTCAATGTAACTATCAAATGAATTAATTTAATTAAATGATTAATAAATTAAAAATTATTTTTTATTTTTAATGTAAATTTATAATAAAAAATAAATTTACTATATTTTTAAAAATATAAATTATAAAATTATAAAATAATATTAACATAATTTTTAAAAATATCTTATCCAACTCCTAACATTAAAGTGAAAAGTTTTTGAGCAATGGAGTTGAAAAAATAGTATGTACGAATGATATTTGACATTTTGACGCGCAACTACCCAATGTGGATGCCTTTAGAGAATGCAGTTGGTCCACCAATTTTTTTTTATTATTTTCAATATAAGGAAAGGACATCCGATCACAGTTATAAAATAAATAAAATATATGATGTAAATATTAATTATTTAAAATTTATTAATTATATAATTATTTATTATATAATTGAGATATAATCTCTTCACATTTATTTTTAACTCAATATCTTCACATTTTTAATAATAAAACATTCTGAATAATTTTCTTACCTGCTAAAAAAAAGTTAGTAAGGGAATAGGACAAGAAGTGGGTGGCATTTTGAGACCTGCAAATATCTGGGTTGCACCCTAAATGGCAGTCCACTTACTTGGGGGAATTATTATTTGATTTGATCTGATCAGCCCGTCTCTTTGGATCCTTTTGCTTTATTAACTCTTTACTTTTTAGAAAGGTGTTGTCTTGTCCCTCGAGTGTGCTTGCTTTTTTTGCAATGATATGCAGATATTAACAATATGCGTGATTGCGTGGCCGCACTGGGGAGAGAGAATTGAGCACGGATCATTGACTTTAAAGGTGGACTAACAATTTAATTGGGGTAAAAATTTATTTTTAATCTTTCACTTTAATAAATTTATAAATTTTAATTCATCATTTTATATTATAATATTTTTAATTTTTAATTTTAATAAAATTGTAGGTTTTAATTTCTCACCATATACTATAATGTTTTTAACTTTTCTCTTATACGAATTAAAAAAAATAACTTTTACTTAACATTCAATTATAACATTATGTAAGTTTTGTTAGTTGATTATTAACTCTATTAATTAACTGTTAGCATTTATTAACATTCCGTTATAGAATACATGAAATTTAAATTTAATTTTATTTGTTAATTTCGTTAACGAAATACTAACGAAACGTTAACAGTTAACTAACAAATTTAACAGTCAATTAATACATTAAACAGTCAGTTACAAGAATTAACAGTCAACTAAAAGAGTTTACAGTCAGTTAACAAAACTAATAGAACATTATAACTTAATTTTAAATAAAAATTATTTTCTTCAATTCATATAGGTGAGAGGTTAAAAATGTTATAGTATAAGGTGAAAGACTAAAACTTATAAATTTATTAAGGTAAATGATTAAAAGTGTATAGTATAAGGTGTACAAACTTATTAAGATAAAGGGTTAAAAGAATATTTTAACTTAATTGGGGTGACAGAATAAAATGTGTTAATGGTAAGTATTTTTTTTAAACACAGCTCAGGTTGTTAATATTAATTGATCGCTTGATCAATCTGGGGTGTGCACCCCAGTCAAGAAAAAAATGAAAATCTAGCTCCCTCAATCTTTGCTCCAGCTATAGCCTAATCTGCAAAAGCACAAAAACATTCTCACCATGCATTTTCCTCTGAATGCTGAAAGATATGCACCGTGAGTCCATGACCAAATATAGACGATGAAGGCACCAACCACATCAGCATAAAAAATACAGTCGTCTTAATTCCCTGTTAAAGATAAACCTTCGTGTTTAAAACAGCTTCCTCGGCAGGAATTATGGATATATAGCTAAATCCCCCTAGTCATAGCAGATAGCACTTTTTTCCATGAATCTTTGTACCAAAGCACCCAGATGATCCGAGTCTTTTTTTCTTCTTCTTCTTCTTCTCTTCCTGCAAAACACGCACTTGGACGTACGAGGCGGCCGGCTGCATATCATTAAGAATACCTCTCTTCTTCAAATTGCTCTTTGTCAGTATACAATCCGGCAGCAGTTTCCAAACAAAAGCTGCTTCGAGTTTGTGTCATATATATTTGTAATATATATACATACAAGTACTGTGCCTCGATGGCTCTCCAAAGGGCAGAGCTTAAAAGCTACTTACGTTGCCTCCAGAGGAGATTCCTCTACTTCTCCAAGGATAGTTTTTTCTTATCAGGTACTCCTAGCTTTAAAATTCGAGTTACAATTAAGTGAAACTCAATTATAAGAGGCAAAACTGTTTTTTTTTTTTTTTTTTTTTTTTTTTTTATGGTTAATTATAATTAAGGTGATCAACTAACCTTCATCTCAAACTATATACTAAGTGCTGCAGGTTTGGTTTTCGGTAATTCCGTGGCCGAATATTCATTTTTAGGTTTCCTGATTGTATTTATCGGAGAAAAATCGGATGGGGACAACCTCTGGTATGATGCAGTGGTTTCGACTGCCCAAGTCTGCTTTTCAGCATTTTTGGCCAGTTTCCTCTCCTACACAACGCATCAACGCATACGTCCTCTCATAATGATTCTGGCCAACCATGCAATTTTCATCGCTGTAAGTTCTTTTTTTTTTTTAGTAATTCTTATATACTACAACAAAAATATCTAATTATCCCTTGCCTCTCAATCGTTAATTATACTGTCACAGGACATCCGTCTCCACAATAACTTGTAGCCAAATAATAGACCTTAGTTTGAAATCATTGCATCCCAAGCATCCCTCATCGATAAACGTAGGATCAATCTTTAACATCTGTTCAAAATCAAGGAAATCGAGGAATTCTCTAACACTTATGCCTTAAAAGGTTCAAAATAGAAACATGTTATTTCGCTCACAAAATCCAGAGGTAGTGGCAAGACTTCATCCATCACATCATAAAAATGAAACAAACCCTCATAATTGGAAGAATGACATTGTACTAAGGATTACATGAAACCCGGCTTGCATCCCCCCTGCTTAATTAATTACTAGTACTAGTACTTTATTCAAACTTATTAAAAGTTGTCATTAAAAATCTACTTAATTTTAATATATACATGGAAAGAGGTTTGTGTAGTGCGGGCAAGGTTGTCGAAGTTGATGAGCGGTGGCGGGGTGATAAGTCGTGACCCATCGACCAATGTCGAACACTGCGTAGAGGTGACTAGTCGGGATTGGCGTTTTGCATTCTTTCTAATTTTTTATTTCAAAAAAATGTCAAAAACATCAAAAAAGAAAAAAAAATGCACAAAATTGGAAATTTTAAGGACTCCACTACACATTTTCAAAACTTGAAGGACTAAAATGCCAAAATAGGTCAAAACACATTGTTTCACTTAACTGACGTGGGCCTTCTTTTTCTGCAACCTTGGCATCAGAGTTGCGTGTTTTTGGCGGGTAAACTTCAGAGCTCCAGCACATGATGGCGTGTTCCATCGCTGTTCGGGCAATAAATTCAATAGATAGGCTCCCCAGGATCATCTAAAGAAGATTTTGGTAAAGATTCTTGGATCATAACACAATTATATTGTACATCTAAAAAAAGGTGACCAATCTTGACCAACTGCCACCAAACCAAGTGGAAAGCGGGTGAGACGGTGCGGTACCCCACCACTTTCCACCTAGTTGCAATTAGTTGGTCGACTAATCACAAATTTTATTATACTAAGTGCAAGTCGTCCTTTTAAGTTTTTTCTAAAAGACTTATTTAAAAACTCAACTTATAGTTAATATATTTTTAAAAATCAATCATTAGATTAAATATACTATTTTAGATTACATCATGCATGCTAATTTTTTAAATTGATTTAAAATTTAAATTTTATGTGATCAACAAACTAGTTATATACATACTAGATATATGTGTGCCCTCTCGCCAATGAGACTATAATTAGTACTCCCACAAACTTTTGGTGCATAATCAAAATCTTTCAAATTAGATTATAAAAGTAAGGATCACATGATTTTTCTCCCCTAAAACCTCGGTTGTCCCCTCCCTTCTCTAGCCCTAATTTTCTCCTCTTTCTCGTATTTTCTCTTTTTCCCTACCTGCTGCTTCTTTCCCCCTTGGTGGTTAGGATGGATGGCTAAAAGTGGGAGTTCTATCATCCCTTGTGGAGGTTTCTCCTTCTTTTTTTGAGTGTTTCTGCCTTGGCTTTCTTGATATTTTTTTATCGAGATTTGCTGTTATTGAAAGAAGATGACAACTTGAACACGATATTTGGTTGGGCTCAAATTAGTTGTCACTTTGGTTGTTGAAGACATGGTTGGGGATGGGTTCTAGCTAAATTTTTCTATGTCAACCAATTTATCTTTTGTCTAGATTAATTATGCTAAAATGTAGCTTCACTACTAAATCTGGAGCTCAAGTCTGATTACAATATTCATATAGGCATTAAATTATTTGATTTTGCATTTTCACATATTTTATAAATATAATACTTTTGGTGTATTATCCTATTCAGGTTGGTCCTATAATTCTTATGATTTTCATATATCTATGAAATTCTAATTCTCATAAAATAAATAAATTGTTAACTAGTGTGCATATATACAATACAAAGTTGTTTTCGATTTTGCATATCAGTTTAAGGTTTATGTATAGTGAGCCATGCCTTTGTAAAACTATCAATAACTAGACCTTCAAAAAAGAATACAATGCGATAGAAATCAAATGAGCTTTACTTTTTTTGATTTTGGGTTATGCACAATATTTTCCTAACTTTTAATCTATCTTACTCGCGTACAATATGTGACTCAAAACACAAAATTTATTACTCCACTTAAAGGTGAGATTAGGTCATTGACTAAATGAGTCTTGTTCTATGATTAATTTGACAGTTTATAATTGAATTCCAACCTTTTTGTGGAATCATACTTTTAAAATTTCCACTTTGTAGATGACCTTGACTTCTCGTAGTGAAAATACTTTACATATATATATTTGGAACTTCCTAAAATTTTTGTTACAATAAGAAGTGTTACAACATGCATATGTCAGTGTCACAAGTTCACCATTCTTATCTTTTTTATGTCAGGGTATGCTAATACTACTATTCCATCGGTCTCCAATTGATGGAATTTTTTACTTGGCACTGGCACTCTTATCAGTGAACCATTCAGGACAAGAATATATGAACGAATTTCTCACTAATCAGCTGGCAGCTAGTGAATTGGAACAGGTTATAGATGATGCAAAAAAACCAAATAATCGAATAGATGCTTGGAGGTTTATTGCAAAGTTTGCAGGGACCGTCGTTGGCGGGGTGCTGATATCATCAAATCTTCCAATAGGAAAATGGCCTTTTATACCAGCAATTTTGGTGGGAATTGGTTGCATATTTTGCTATTCTTACAGCATATGTTTTGAGGTATCTTCAGGAGATCATGAAGGGGAAAAGCATGAATTAAGGCCGCTTCTGAAATTACTCCCCTTGTGGGCACCTTTCCTTATATATTATGTTGTTGATGCGGCCGGTAGCACCTTCTTCAATTATGAAGTTTATTTGCATATAAAACAGGGTGATCAATATTATCTGTTTATAATACAGAAATCTTCCGGAATCATAGTGTCGCATTTAATCGGTTATGTAATCACAAAATTTTGCAGTGAGGTAAACCAGCAGGAACAAAAACGCATTAGGCTAGTGAAGATCACTCTCGGGATGTTGGTTTGTTTTTTGTTCTGCATTGTCACTTGGCATGTTGAGGCTAAAGGAAAATCAGAAGGCTCCTCCGAAGCAAAGGTCATCTCATTGACGTTCATTCTACATTTTATCTTGGTAGGAATTATGAAAGAAATGGTTAAAGGAATGTTGGGAGAGTACTTCTGTGACCAAGTACCAGATCAATCCATGCATCATTTACAATTCACATTCAATAGTTTTGTGGAAGGAATGGGACGATTGTTAGCTGTGGTATGTATTCTAGTTTTCAGAAATTGGATTGGTGAGAAGGTCCACAATAGCCATTTAGAAAAATACTTTGGAACATTGGCCTTTATGAGCTTATGTGCCTTACTTATGTTTGTATATCTATCCAATACATGTTATTGGAATACAGAAACAGAGGATCATAATGACTGTCTTGAGAAGTTGGAAGAGGGCAGCCTCAGTAGCCTCAGCAAATGCCCTTCGGAATCTCAATCTTCCTCTCTACACTCATCATCAGCATCACAATCCACTGCTTACTTCTCAGACAATGAATCCATCTCTACAAGTTCAGAAGCAGCAATACTACCAAACTTGGAGAGTGCAGGATCCTCTGCTAATAGAGACTATTGGTCAATTGTAAAAAGGTAATTATCTATTTTTCTTTTAATTTTTTTCTCCCCTCTTTTCAAACCCTATTACATTAATTTCTGATTGTAAAAGGATATGAAATAAATATATAGGTACCAAAGATGCCATGGCTTTTTAAGGTACATCAAGGAACGCTTGGGGGAGAAAGAAAAGTCTAGTTGATAACCATTGCTTCACAAACTTGTTCTAAACGATTGTGAGTGGTTTCACTTTTGATGACAGTGATCTGTTATTATTATATTCTCATTTTGTGCTTACATTTGAGTTTTTAGGACCAGTTATGTTATGCCTGTGTTGTGGTTAATTGTTAAGATTCGTCCTAATTAATTCTTGTATCACATGACCGTCCGCATTCTATATGGTTGTATTTATAGGTGTTTTAAATTTTGTTGTAATGTATTAATTCCCAATTGGTTAATGATCAACATTTTATCTGTGCACATCAAACTTGGATGTCACTGAATCACATGAAACACATCTAATGGCAGCATTCTAATATCAACTGGTCAATTGTAGAAGTAATTAGTTCACTATATTTAACAGATAGATAATATACAAAGTTACAAACCCCACTGGCAAATAAAGGACATTGATAAAACACAGGAAAATGCAGCCAGAAATTAAACATCCAAATTAAACAGCCCTTATTTCAACTCAGACCAGGCCTCCTCTGCTTCATCTTCCACTACAGAAGCCAAAAGCTTATTATCGAAATTCATCACCGAGCAATTTGCACGAATTTCTCCTTGTTTCCCAGTCAACACGCTCAGTTGTCCACATTTTAATCATCGAATGCACGAATTTCTCAAGATACTGCGTCTCATCAGCAGACAAGCTCTGGACAATTTCTTTGGTCCTAGCATCAGTGTACAGATCTTGGTCGGAGGTGAATAGCCTCTGCCGATTCATTACATATCAAAAAATTAAAATTTTTAAACCAGGCCCTGTCTAATTTTTGTTAACTTTTCTCAATTCTTATTTCGAGAAAGTGGCCAACTAAATAAGTCATGTCCGATTTTACTCTCAGTTAGGATTTGAAAACTAAACCTTCGCACAAATTGCTAATTCAAAAAAATATAAATAAATAAATTTGTAACTAGCTTTCATTAAAGCAGGGCAAAAGGAAGAGAGCCAAAATTGTGGGTCTCTAATTAGGCCTTGGTTTGGGTTCAGTTGCGTTGTCTTTCTTTGAGAGAAACAATTGGCGTGGCTTGTGATTGGTTTGGTTTCAATTGCATTGTCATTTTTTGAGAGAAACAATAGCCTTTAGGTTTTGTTCTTTTTAGGCATGCAAAGGAAATAATCGGTCCAAAGGAAACTGCCCAATATTAACCATCCGTAACAGAATAAGTAGTAGAAATAGCTTGGAAGGCACTCTTTTTTAATAATAATAATAAGAGGCAGAAGTTTGAAGTTGCAATAGAAAAATAGCCTTATTGCATTATGCAAAACTTTTGATCCGTTTAGTGCAGTTTTATTGTTTTTTTTTTTTTTTAATCTTAGGTTACACAAAATTTTTTTCTATTTCTTAACTCACTTTTCTTACATGACATATAATTCAAATTTAATATTTCTTATTTTTAATATAAAAAAATTATCATTAACTTATTTAGATTGTTAGTAAGCTTTGATTTTTTTTTATTTTTTTTTATTTAGTATTAAATATATAAAAATAAGAATTAAAAACCAAAACTTAAAAACTATACTTAATGGAACATTGTTTTAATTATGGCTTTCCTTCAGGTTTTGTTTGCCAACATATATTTAAATTTGGCGTGTGTATTTTACATATACTTAAATATATAGGTCCGAAGATGTTATGACCATAAATACAAAAAAAAAATAATCATATATTTAAATGTATGTAATTTAAAATACATCTATTTAAAATTGAATTTCATGTTAGTTCACTTCATTCAGGCATTTTCCTAAACACTTGCCATGCCACTTATAGACACGCATCCTCCCCATCCCTATTTCTCCCCAGCCACTGTTCTTTTGCTTTTTTCCCTTTCAATCATTTTAGCAAACACCTACTAGGCATTTCTTTTTCAACATTCTCATTTGTACAATTCTTTTCAAATTTCTAACATATACCAGTTTCAACGAAAAT